GCTTCGCCTCCGCGTTCCACATCTCGTCTCAAGCCACTGTGTTGCCCACAGGTACGTTTTTTGTTGCACCATGCGTAAACTGCTTGACGTGACTGTATCATCCTATGCTAATATCCTGTGTTGCTCGCTTGGGTTTTCTTGTGCCTGCAGGGAGGCGCTCGCAGCAAAACATGCAGCCCGGGCCCTTCCCGAGTTCGACATGGTTGACAGCCTGATCCGTCAACTCGCAGAGCATCTCGGCCGTTCCGGCCCCTGGCATCAACGCTTTATGGAGCTTCAAGAACTCTTCACGTCCACGAACCTGGAGCTTCAGGGGATTCACACGGTCCGCTGGCTCTCCAGGGGTGACGCTGTTTTGCGTCTGGTGGCCGTCTTCCCCGCGATCATCGTCATGCTGTACGAGTGGGACGAGACGCTGTACGAGCTCGCCACGAGCTACAGGTTTCACTTCCTCTTGTACTTCCTGGCCGACGTGCTCGAGCAGCTGAACATCCTGAACAAGTCTTTCCAGCAGCGAGAGGTGAGCGACTTGGCGTTTCCGTGTGTGCTTAACTTGTCTTGATGTCTTGTTATTGTATTTGTGGCTTCTGTGTGTGTTTGTCATTGCAGTTATATTGTTGACAGTCAAACAAAACATTATTTGTGTGAGAAAGCACCCCCAATCTCGACTGCCGTGTTTCCCGCAATGTTATTTCTTTCGCCCAAACATAGCTTGACATTGCAGGTGTGCACGCGCAGATCAGGAGAACCATCTCCTTCCTAGAGACCCGCTACGTCGACTGCGGCGATGATTTTGGGGGCGGGTTGAGCGCGCGCCTGTCCCCGTTCATCATGAAGTACGGGCCGGACAGTGACAACCCCGAGGTGACGGTGCAAGGAGTGGACTCAGACGGTCGGCCCACTAAACACACGTTCAAACTGCACGAGAACCCGAGCGAGGACTACCCAACGCTGGGAAATCACTACAACTGCGTGGATCTCTGCACCTCGTTTGCAGAGGCGCTCGTGCGCAACCTCACCAAGAGGTTTGCAGATTTGGACTCCCTTGTGGGAGTCCGGCTGTTCATGCCCGATGAGTACCCACCAGAGAGAGGAGAGCGCCACAAGCAGTGTCTCGAGTGGCTCATGTCACTCGTCAGGCTGTTCAGGGCAGTGGAGACAGACTACATCCTTCCTGGTACGTGTTTATTGATTGTGCACCAGTGCTGTACTCAACGTAACATTTTGAACGTAAAGTTCTGTGTTGGTGTCTGCCTCTGCCCTGTTGGTCAGTCATCCTAACGATCACTTATCTGCTTTGTCTGGCAGGGATCGACAAGCGCCGGGCGATCAAAGAGCTGCGAGCCTTTTGCCCCATCCTCGCAGGTGCCTCGAAGACCGAGAGAAGCTTCCATGCCGGCCTCACTGCGATGCTGAAGACAAGCGACTGGACGACCAGCTACCCCAACCTTGTGCGTCTCTGGGTCGCTGTCGCCGTACTGCCGCTGAGCACAGTGGAATGTGAGCGCGGGTTTTCCCGCCAAAACATCATCAAGTCGTGGCAGCGTGGGAGCCTCAAAGACGCCCGCCTTGAAGATCTCGTCACGATGTCGCTCCTCGAGTACGTGCCCGACTACAACGAAATCGTGCAGGTCTGGCGCAGCTACAAGAAGCGCCGGCCCTTTGGCAATGTGGCAGCAGCTCCAGCAAGAGAGGGGCAGGGTAGTGGCAGGGGAAAGGAGGCAGAGGCAGTACAGGAGTGGGAAGCAGAGCCAAAGGCTCAGGGGGGTGATGATGATGATGGCTCTGATTCCGATGATGATGCATGCATGACCCCTATTAGAGATTCTTAGATTATAACTGCAGCAACTCTTCTTGTGACTATTTATTTTAAATGTAGGAGTCTGAAATACAGTCAGTGTTTTTGCAAATGGTACACTGATGCATCAGGCTTTGAAAATTTGCAACACTGAACTTTCAGCTTTTTTTTTTTTGGGACACTGACAATCAGAGTTCCCACGCAGGGGGACCCTGATGGCCTGACGACCCTAAAAGTGAATCTGAGGCCCTGCTTCCGCTATTACAATCCTACTCAGACTTTAACTCTACAAAGATCCTAGGGCATCTCAGCCCAACAGTGGTGAAGCGAGCGTGCTTTGAGGCGGGGATGGATGGAGCCGTGCGCAAGCCGATCGTGGCGCATGAGTTGCTTGCAGCGCTCATACATGCGGGGTTTGTAGCTGTTGAGGCAGAAGATGCGGTTTGTGCAGAGTGAAAGCACAATTAGAGCTGGAGTGACAAATAATGCACTACCGTAAGCCCCCGGATAGAAGCTCAGGCCTCGGATAAGCGCCGGCGCTTAAAAAAGGATGAGGGCGCTTATATCCGGTCCTCGATTATATGCGCACCCCTAAAGGCTTACGGATTATAAGCGCCACCCTCTGAATTATATTTAATATTTTTACTGGAAACGCTGTAACGAAACACAATTTTTGCATCCCAACATTCAGAAATTCGAATCCCTTCACCATCGCGCGACTCAATGCCTTCGCGTCCAGTCAGAATGACCTGTCATGGGGTTAATCTGACTCATTCTGACTGTGCGTGCTGGCAGAGAATCAGCCACTGCCAATTTACGCGAGATTCACATTCCAGCCCCCTACAATCTCGATTCGATTCAAATCGCAAGGACGAGATAAACACTTTGGTGTAAAAAAAATAGATTTCATATATGTCATTTTATAAGCCCCGGCGCTTATAAAAATCCTCAATTATAAGCCCACCCCCTAAAAAACAGTGTTTTTTTATAACCCCAGGGGCGCTTCTATCCGGGGGCTGACGGTAGCATTGTAGTGCCCATGTGTGGCAATGGATTTCACTCATGGAGACATGAGTAGGGTTTTTTTTTTTTTTTTTTTTTTTTTTTTTTTTTTTTTTTTTTTGTATTGAGTGTGATGCCTGCTTATATTTTACATTGTTTTTGCTGCCAATGGTCATGCAATGTAGCATGTTTTATAAAAATATAGCTCAAATTCAAGGAAACCTCAAAAGCGACGAAACCTGGATCACTTCTCGGCTCTTGTCCTATGACTTGCCAGACGCGTAGGCGTTCCAGAGAAGTGAGGTGAAGATAAGACTCAACAATGTCTCCCGAACCGACTCTAACCGCGAGCAACGCCTCTTGTGAATCAACTCATGAGCATTGTGGCACCGCGCGCATTAGAAACCGCCGAATGCGCTTTGACGCACGGTCGCGCATACACGTACCTGCCGTACCCCTCCCATGGCTGCTCCTCCTCCTCCTCCTGACGTTAATCTCCTGCGCTCGAGCCGCGATCCACACGTACTCGGGTCAGCGCGCCTATTATTCCGCCGACCTGCTACTGTACCGCGCCGGCCGCGAAGGCATGTTCGCGACTTCGCCGGGATCTGGTTACATCCGGTGCGTTCGCTCAACCCCCTTAGCCACCCACCCGCCTCTTCTCAGGCTGAGCAGATTTCTCCTCTCCCTCGCTTCCTCGCATCTGTCTCTTCTCCCTCGTCTCCGCGCGTGCGGGGGGGGCGGGGGAGGGAGGGGATGCGCGTGCGAGGCGTGCCGCGTGCAGCATTCCATCCCCCTCCCGTCGTTCCCCCTCCACGCATGCTGTCTCCTCGTCCTCGCCTCCCGCGCACCCCGTCTCTCCCGTCCCCCCAGCCCATAGATACATGGAGCGGGTGTGACAGGCCCCACCGCCCACCCACCCGTCCACCCAACCCCACCCACGAGGTTACTTTTGAGTCGACTCAAAAGCCACCCCGCGCGCGCCGTCTCCCGTTTCCCCAGCCCATAGCTGCATGGAGGGTGTGACAGGCCCCACCGCCCACCCATTCACCCTCTCATCTACCCCTCTTCCCATCCACACACCCATCCGCCGTCTCCCGTCCCCCCAGCCCATAGCTGCATGGAGGGTGTGACAGGCCCCACCGCCCACCCATTCACCCTCTCATCTACCCCTCCTCCCATCCACACACCCATCCGCCGTCTCCCGTCCCCCCAGCCCATAGCTGCATGGAGGGTGTGACAGGCCCCACCGCCCACCCATTCACCCTCTCATCTACCCCTCCTCCCATCCACACACCCATCCGCCGTCTCCCGTCCCCCCAGCCCATAGCTGCATGGAGGGTGTGACAGGCCCACCGCCCACCCATTCACCCTCTCATCTACCCCTCCTCCCATCCACACACCCATCCGCCGTCCCCCGTCCCCCCAGCCCATAGCTGCATGGAGGGTGTGACAGGCCCTTCCGCCTACCCACCCATCCACCCACCCAGCCATCCACCCACCCATCCACCCACGCATCCACCCACCCACCCACCCATCCACCCATCCATTCATCCATTCATCCATTCCTTCATCCTGCCCCATTCCTGCCAGCCTGCACGGGTTGCACCTGCACGGGTTGCACCTGCAGAGATGGAGGCGGAGGTACAGCCGTTGGATAGCTCAAGATGTTTCCCTGATTCTCTCCTCCCCCCACCCACCCACTCTCTCACCCGCCCCCTCCTGCCAGCCTACACGGATTACACCTGCAGCGGCCATCATGGGCGGCGGAGCCACAGCCGTTGGATGGCTCAGAGTGTCACCGTGACCCTCTCCTCCCAAACCAACCATGCACCACCCACGCACCCGTCCACCCCTTTCTCTCCCTTTTTACTGCCAGCCTGCGCGGATTACACCTGCAGTGGCCATCATTGGAGGCGGAGCTGCAGCCACTGGAGGGAGTGAAGGGCGTGGTGGAGGTGGTGGTGTTTGACATGCGCGCTTGATACACCCACTCACCCACGCACACACCCACACACGCACCCACGCACCCACGCACACAACGACCCGTGCCTCCCTTTTTGCCAGCCTTGATGGACTGCACTTACAGCGCCCTTCCTGGGAGGCGGAGCTACAGCCACTAGAGGGAGTGAAGGTGGTGGAGGTGGTGGTGTTTAATGCACCCACCCACCCACCCACCCATAACCCCCCTCAATACCAGCCTGAATGGATTGCACTTGCAGCGCCCATCATGGGAGGCGGAGCTACAGCCACTAGAGGGAGTGACAGGCATGGTGGAGGTGGTGGTGTTTGACATGCGCGTGCGGCACATGATAGGGTACCGCTGGCGCAACAGCAGCAGCACAGACACGAGTGAGTGGGTGGGTGTGGTTGCTTGGTAATGTGGGTGCATGGGGGAAGGCACTCGCACATGCGCGTGCACGAACTCACACAAAGATTGATGAGCTTTCACTGTCCTCTGCTCCCTCCCCTCCCATGCTTGTCACTGCTTTTTCAAAAAGCTTCATGTGTTCCCGCACCCGAAGGTGCAAGACACCTTTGTTTACATGTTGTGCCGTATCTTATGACCTAATAGCAAACAATTATTTTTTACGAATGAATGAATTCTGCTTTTATTCTCCAGAAACGGCACTTCTGTGTGTTCCCTACATTTCCGGAAAAAAGTGGCTCACTCTGTTAGGTTTATCAGAACAACACCGTTCTTTTGTGTCCTCTTCCCCCGCTCCTTCCTCCCGCCCCCCCCACCTCTGCCCCATACCATCGCCAGTCCCGTTCGCCCATGCAGACAGCAGGGTGGAGGAGGGCAGCGGGCCGCTCTTCTTCTGCTGTACCAAGGAGTTCTGAGACGTCTTAAAAGCCTAATCCTCCACCCGCTCTCCCTCACCCCATGTCATGCCATGCCAGCCCCCTTTGCCCATACAGACAGTGGGGTGGAGGGCAATGAGGAGGGCAGTGGGCCGCTCTTCTTCTGCTGCACCAAGGAGCTCGAGCCTCTCACTGGCTGCACCGTGGGCCGCCTGATAGTGAGGCGAGCAGCGCACGAGCCGGATGTGAGTGTGCGTGCATTGATGCATGCATGCGAGCAGAGTGATAGGCTGGACTGGTGCGGTGACTTTTGAGTCGACTCAAAAGTCACCTGCGAGCAGAGTGATAGGCTAGACTGGTGCGGTGTGCCACGCACCTCACCTCACCGGGTGCACCATGGATGGGGGCAAGCTCATAACGAGAGGAGCTGCGCTGCGCACAATCCGAGTCCTGGAAGCTTCATTTATCAGCAACCGCTTGCAAGCAAGCAGCCCCACGGAGTGTGTAGTCTCTCAACAGTTTCCTCCTCTCCATCCCATGCCCTTTTTCTCCCCTACCTGCCCCGTTCCTTTTCAGAGGCTCAGTTGGGCTCAGTTGGGCTCAGTTGGGCTCACTTGCTCGGCAACAGCTCACTCACAATCCCTCTGCACACAGACGCGCACGTGCATCTGTTACCATGTGCGGCCCCTCTCCCTCCCCTACCCCATCGCCTCTCAGTGGCCGTGCGTCCTGGAATATCAATTCCTCGGCAACAGCTCACTCACAGCTCCTCTTCTCTCCCTGCTTTCCCCCCTGGCCGCTCTGTCCCTTCTTCCCGCCCCAGTGACCTCGCGTCCTGGAAGCCAAGTTCCGTGTGCTGATGAAGGCCTTTGCTGGCCGAAACGCGTTCACCCGCGACATCCAGGCCTAATGTGTCTGGCTTTCTGATTAGTAGACCTTTTCTCACTACTTCCCTCGATTTTCAGATTAGTAGACTCAGTACTACAGATCGCTACTCTTAGCAGGCTTGCTGCGTTTCGAATCCAATAAATTTCACCAGTGGCCTCGCGTCCTGGAAGCCAAGTTCCGTGGCAACAGCCCCCTCGATTTCCCCTTTTCTCCGCTTCCCTCTCCAGTGGTCCATGTATTAGCAACCAGAAAAGTACAGACATGCACGGGAGGATAAGGCACCTGGAACATGCATCATAGACACTAACCCTGCCCCTCCTCATTATTTCGTGTGTTGTCAGTTTTCAGAATATTAGCCCCCTCTCTCTCTCTCTCTCTCTCTCTTTGTCCTCTCCCCAGTGGCTGCGGGTCGTGGTGGAGGCTCAGTATATGGCCCGGGCAACAGCTCACTCACAGCACCACTGGATGCACACGGACGCTGAGGCATGGCTTATGCGGCCCGGCTTTGTGTATGTGTGGCTGGCCATGTGTAATAAGAACCTCAGAGGTAGCTACTTTCCTCCCCCCCCCCTCTCCCCTCTCTGCCCTCTACCCGCCCAGTGGCCCCGCGTCCTGGAGGCTCAGTTCCTCAGCAACAGCTCACTCACAGCACCTTTAGATGCAGACCTGCACATCCCACAGCCGGGCTTTGTGTATGTGTGGCTGGCTAGCCATGTGGGACAAGAACCTCCGTGGTTGCACCATCTGGACTCCAGTCCTTAAACCCTCTTTTCCTGCCCACTTCCCTGCCTTCTCCCGGCTCTGCCCTGCCCTCTCCCCCAGTGGCCGCAGGTCCTGGAAGCCCAGTTTATCGGCAACAGCTCGCTCACAGCAACTCTGGATGCAGAGGTGCACGTACCACGGGCCGGCTTTGTGTATGTGTGGCTGGCCATGTGCGATAAGAACCTGGACAATACCAAGGTGTTTGGCCACACGGAGTGGCGCGCGCACGGGTGGGGGTACCTCCCTGGCATGCTGTCAGCACACCTTCCAATACAAACAGTCATGTTGGTGGTGAGTCTCCTCGCAAGGCGGGCTTTTGCGACAAGGGCCCGGCCACGAAGCTGCAGATACAGCAGTCAGTGCAATGGTGCGCACTCCATAGACTGGCTTTGTGTATGTGTGGCTGGCCATGTGCGATAAGAACCTGGACAACACCAAGGTGTTTGGCCACACGGAGTGGCGCGCGCACGGGTGGGGGTACTTGCCCGGCATGCTGTCAGCACACCTTCCGATACAAACAAGCATGCTGGTGGTGAGTGTGAATGTGAGTTTGAGAGTGAGAGGGAGACGTGAGTGGTGAGTGAGTAGTAGAGTCACACAGAGGTGTCTTAAACGAGAGTGCGCCGTTGTCGAATCAAGTTAATCATGAACTGGTCTGAACTCTTATTTTCTTTGCTGTGAATTGGTTGGATTTGAAGTGCCTTCATGGCAAATCTGAAGTGAATGTCTTTCTTTCATTGTCAACTCCCCCTCACTTCCCCACCTTCCTCACGCCCCCCTCTCGTCCCATTCCTTTGCCTCCTTCAACACTCTTCCCCTGTTCCACCCTCTCACCCCCCTCTTATGTCGTCCTTCTCTGCCTCCCTCGTTTCCCATGCCCCCTCCCCTCCAGCTCTACACTCTCCTCTACCTCGCCTGGCGCCCCCAGTTCGGTCCAGCCTGGCACTCTCTCGACCGCAACTCACTCCCTCACTTCCTCACCTTCCTTGTGTCTCCATTCCATTCACCCCTCCCCTCCCTCCCCCCCTCCCAGCTCTACACCTTCCTCTATCTCGCCTGGCGCCCCCAGTTCGGTCCAGCCTGGCACTCCCTCGACCGCAACTCGCTCCCTCACTTCCTCACCTTCCTCCTCCTCCTCTCCCTCCTCTCCACCCTCACCACCCTCTGCGACCTCCTCCTCCTCTGCACCACGGGGCACCGATTCGTTTTAGTCACGCTCGCTGCAGTGACGGTGGGGGTCCTGCAGGGGCTGCTGCTGAGGGGAGTGCTGGTGGGGGTGGCGGTGGGGGTTGGCACGCTGCTGCCAAAAGTAGGGGTCATTCCTGGCAAGGTGGGTTTGATGGTATGGAAGCTGGTGCAAAGCGGTACAAAACGATGCTCACTAGGGTGCTGCAAGGCTCCACTTGCACGCCTGGGTCCTTCAGGGGCTCCTGCTGAGGTGAGAGGAGTGCTGGTGTGGGTGGCGGTGGGGGTTGGCATGCCGCTGCCAAAAGTAGGGGTAATTCCTGGCAAGGTGGGTCGGATGGGGTGCAATGCGGTGCGCAGTGGTGGTGCTCGTTGGAGGTTGCTGGTGGGGGTGGCGGTGGGCGTTGGCACGCTGCTGCCGAAAGTAGGAGGATTCCTGGCAAGGAGGGTTGGATGGAGTGAGAGGCGGTGCAAAGCGGTGCTTGCTCGCACTGTCTACCCAGCTCTTCAGGGTTTGCTGCTGCAGGGAGTGCTGGTGGGGGTGGCAGGCAGTGAGGGTAGCGTGCAGCGTGGGCCAGGCGACTTTTGAGTCGACTCAAATGTCACCTCGTGTGGGGCAGGCGAGGTGATGAAATAAGGCATGCTCTGGTCACGCATTTCCTTCCATCTCTTACATCACTGTTTTTTGAGAATTCTCAAAAAACATACGCTGGTCACGCATTTCCTTCCATCTCTTACATCACTCCCCCCTCTCTCTCCTCCCCACAGGCGCTCATACCAGCAGCCCTGTACGTGCTAGTGGCGGCTACATGCGAGGCAGTGAGGACAGTGGGGCAGGTGGACGATTGGGGCAGCGGTGAGCATGTGGCTCTGTGCTCCCCCCTCGTGCTCCTGGACCTCTGTCTGGCTGCCTGGCTCATCCCGGCCGCTCTCACCACCAAGGCGCAGGTGAGGGGATGAAATTACAGCAAAACAACAAGGCGTGTGAGGCAGTGAGGACAGTGGGGCAGGTGACGATTGGGGCAGCGGTGAGCATGTGGCTCTCTGCGCGCCCTTTCTGCTCCTGGACCTCTGTCTGGCTGCCTGGCTCATCCCTACCGCGCGTGCTACTGAGGCACAGGTGAGGCGTGTCAATGTGGGTGGAACATGGACTCGTGTGAGTCGTGACTGTGCGTGCGGTGAGGTGAGCATGTGGCTCTGTGCGCGCTCCTTCTGCTCCTGGACCTCTGTCTGGCTGCGTGGCTCATCCCTACCGCGCGTGCTACTGAGGCACAGGTGAGGCATGTCAATGTGGGTGGAACATGGACTTGTGTGAGTCGTGACTGTGCGTGCGGTGAGGTGAGCATGTGGCTCTGTGCGCGCCTCTTGTGCTCATGGACCTCTGTCTTGCTGCGTGGCTCATTCCGACCGCGCGTGCTACTGAGGCGCGTGGCTCTCACTACCAAGGCGTAAGGTGAGGGGGTGCAAGTACGGCAGAACAACAGGGCGTGTGAGGCAGTGAGGAAGTTGGCGCAGGTGGGCGATTGGGGCAGTGATGAGCATGTGGCTCTGCGGGCGCCCCTTATGCTCATGGGCCTCTGTCTGGCTGCCTGGCCCACTGGCGTGTTGGCACGTGGCCCATTCTGCTGCTAGTTAAGTGCTGCTGAGGACGGTCGCTTGTAGCAGCTCGCATTGTCAAACACTGTTCACGTTTTGCGAGGCGCCTCAAAAGTCAACTACATTGGTACATTGACGTGGGTCATGCTGCTGCTACTTACTTTTGAGGTGCCTCAAAAGTCATGGCCCATGCCATGCCATGCTGCTGCTACTTACGTGCTGACGACAATCACTTGTTACAGTTCGCATTGGCATGCACCACTCTTGTTCGCCATTCACCCATTTCCAGGGCGTTTTTCAGGAATACGGAATGTTTTGAGACGTCTCAAAACATTTCTTCAATCACTCTCGTTCGCCATTCACCCATTTCCAGGGCGTTTTTCAGGAATACGGAATGTTTTGAGACGTCTCAAAACATTTCTTCAATCACTCTCGTTCGCCATTCACCCATTTCCAGGGCGTTTTTTAGGAATACGGAAAATGCCCCGTTCGCGAGCGCCATTCACCCTATTACTTTCCAGCCTCTGCTTGTCTTCGTCTCTTCTGTGCTGTGGCTTCTATGTGGTGCGGTGCTGAGTGTGGCATGGTGTGGTCCGGTGGGTCTGGAGAGGTGTGGTGTTCTGTGATGGGTTGCTGTGCGGTGCCACACTGGAGTGCATGCAGGCGTCAGACAGTCGGCTGCTGAGCACCTTCCGCCAGGCACTGTCAGCAATGGGGGGCATTAGTGCTGCTGCTCTCGCCCTCACCTGCTGGGAGGTACGTCCACATGCATGCACTGCCATTCGCCTCTTTGCACATGGGATGTCCTTAAAAAGGTATATTGAATTCCTTTCACGGTGCTCCTTGCATGGTGCGACTGTATTTGACTCGACTCAAAAATATACACATGGGAGGCCCTTGTAAAGGTATATTGGATTCCATGCTGTTCCTTGCATGGTGTGACTGCCCTGGCACAGCACCATTGCATTCCATCCATGTCCTTCCTTTTCTCCCGTAGCGACTACTTTTGAGTCGACTCAACTCACAAGTCACCTCGCTACAATGGCACATGACACTCCTTGCATGGTGCGACTGCCCCGGCACAGCACCATTGCACCCTATCCACGGCCTTCCCTATCTCCCTTACTTGCCTTCCCTATCTCCCTTACTTGCCTTCCTTATCTCCCTTACTTGCCTTCCTTATCTCCCTTACTTGCCTTCCTTATCTCCCTTACTTGCCTTCCCTATATCCCTTACTTGCCTTCCTTATCTCCCTTACTTGCCTTCCTTATCTCCCTTACTTGCCTTCCTTGTCTCCCTTACTTGCCTTCCTTATCTCCCTTACTTGCCTTCCTTATCTCCCTTACTTGCCTTCCTTATCTCCCTTACTTGCCTTCCTTATCTCCCTTACTTGCCTTCCTTATCTCCCTTACTTGCCTTCCTTATCTCCCTTACGTGCCTTCCTTATCTCCCTTACTTGCCTTCCTTATCTCCCTTACGTGCCTTCCTTATCTCTCTTACTTGCCTTCCTTATCTCCCTTACTTGCCTTCCTTATCTCCCTTACGTGCCTTCCTTATCTCTCTTACTTGCCTTCCTTATCTCCCTTACTTGCCTTCCTTTTCTCCTCTTCTTCCTGTCCTATGCACCTCCTTCCCCCGCATCTCCCCACCACCAGGCCTATGTGAAGCTATCAGACCCCCTCAACCTGCAGTGGCAGAGCGATTGGCTCATCACAGCAGCATGGCACCTTCTCTCCTTCCTCGCCCTCGCCTCCCTCTGCTTCCTCTGGAGCCCTGCCCTCCTCTCCCTCCGGTTAGCTTCTCCCGAGTCAACTTAATAGCCTTCCTTGCCCGCACCTTGTCACACCTGCTCACACCCCCTTGCCACCTCTCCTTCCTCACCCTCGCCTCCCTCTGCTTCCTTTGGAGCCCTGGCTGCCTCTCCATCTGGTGCGTCTCTTTTCTGCCATTCCCCTGCCACACCTTGTCACACCTTGTCACACCTTATCACACCTTGTTACATGCTGTCACACCACACATTACCTTCTCTCCTTGCCTTTTCAACCGCATGGGTGCATGGATGGTTAGGTAGGTGAAAGTGTACATGGTTGCGTGCTCGAGTTATGAACAATCTATTCCGTACCAAATTATCTAATCCTGTGCGGTGTTGCTTAAGCTCCAGGTTTCTACCGTATCTGTTGGCCACTTACCCCCTCTTTCTTTCCGTACTTTTCGCTCTCATCCCGTCCTTTGTCTTCTATGCTACCTTAATTGTTGCTTTTCCTTCCTTATTTTTTCAATGCTCCTCAGTCATGATGGATCCATCCACTCAAGCCACGTGACAAACGGGACTTCTTGAGACATCTCAAAAACTCCTTATTTGTCACCTTTCCTTCGTTTCTTTCTTTTTTTTTCTCTCTTAATGCTCCTCAGGCACGATGGATCCACTCAAGGCGACAAAGGCGAGGCAGCGTCTCTCCTGTCATAGGTAGATACTGTACAGTACCGGGTGACTTTTGAGTCAATTCAAAAGGCATCCCTCATGTCATAGGCAGTAGTGTCGTTGCTCATCGGTGGTGCCCTTGTGCTGGATTCGGTACTGTACTGCGTGTGGAATTGTGGGATCTGCGCATGCCGATGCCGGCGTACAAGGCGAGGCTAAGGGCGCCACTGCACTTAGCACTGTTGCACTGCCGGTCATTTTGAGCGCCCCTGCTATAGGCCTGGGCTGCATCAGTGCCGACTGCTCATTTCACTGCTAGGAAATTTTTAAAAAAAAAAAGGGTATATATATATAATTATCAGGATTGCCATTCCAGAACATTTACATTCATTTCTGGGAGGGAGAGAGGGAGTGCAGGGAGGTGAAGCTGGTAGACGAGGTGATGCCTCGGTTGCTGTGAGCTGCCGGCCACAGGCACGTCTGAAACTCAGTAAACGCCTTCCTCAGTCGAGCCTGCCGCGCCGCCCGCTCCTCCGCCAGTACCACCTCCCTCCACGTGCTCCCCGGCCCAAACTTTTCCTCGCCTGCCCGCACTGCCCAGCTTCCCCAGCCCCACAGGGACAACCACCATCCAGGCAGCCACCACAGGTTTCTTCTGCCCCCAGCGCCCCCCTTCCCGTTCCCTGCCCCCTCCGTTTCGCCCTCCCCCTCCTTAAAATACAGCTCTAGAACACAGGAGGCGCGGGGGTTGACGCGTTTCAAGTCAGAGACTAAATGAAAGGCCTCTGGATCTACAAGCAGGCGGCTGCATTTTTGAGACGTCTCAAAAGTCTTTGAATCTACAAGCAGGTGCCTGCACACACCCTCGCTGCAGATGCTGCCCGTAATGGGGGGCGTGCTTGTAGGCGGTGTGATTGCAACGGGTGCTCTTATAGGAGGTGTGTTTGTGCCGGATGGGGTTGTGAGTGAGGTGGTTGCGCTCCTGGGGGGTGGTGTGCCTTCCTTGTAGCCAATCAGCTGGTGAAGATGGTGAGGGAGGGAGATAGAAACGGTAAGTGAGAGGAGTGTGGAAAGGTTAGAGCGAAGGCGAGTGTGTAATGTAAGCTGGTAAGAAACGAATGCACTCAGCAGCAGCAGCAGCAGCAGCAGCAGCATAAGCTGGCATTGACTCGTATTGACCCTCATTGACTCGTATTGACCCTCATTGACTCGTATTGACCCTCATTGACTCGTATTGACCCTCATTGACTCGTATTGACCCTCATTGACTCGTATTGACCCTCATTGACTCGTATTGACCCTCATTGACTCGTATTGACCCTCATTGACTCGTATTGACCCTCATTGACTCGTATTGACCCTCATTGACTCGTATTGACCATCATTGACTCGTATTGACCCTCATTGACTCGTATTGACCCTCATTGACTCGTATTGACCCTCATTGACTCCCACTAACCTGTGGCGGCCCGCCCGTGTGGTCGGTGCAGTAGAGAGTAGCCACGTCAACGAGGTCACAGTACGCCTCCACGCTGCTGGCAAACCGCCTGTGCGACTGCAGCTGCTTGTGCACCGGCACTCCCCTCCTGCTCAAAATGGCTCGCCTGGGATGGAAGGAGGGACGGTTCAGGGGAGGGGAACATGACGTGGAAAGGAAAGACAGGGGATGGGTGGAGTGGGTGGGTGGGACAGCTTGTTCAACCGAAGCTGCTCTCGTGTCGTTCGGATGGCCCGCCTGGGACGGCAGAGAGGAAGGCCCAGAGGGGAGAGGCTTGGGATAGTTACCGCAGACGCTTCGGCCCCTAGTGTCACACATCACGCCCACCAACCCCCCATGCCCCATTCACATCCCTTAACCCATGCCCACCCCACGCCTCACCGCATGCCGCGAGCAACAGCCAGGTGCGCGTCACACATCACGCCCACCAGCTCGATCCGATACGGCAGCCGCTGCTCACTGCCTCCCCTCTGCCCCCTCCTCTCCCAGCACATCCCCCCTCCCTGCCGGGCCCCCTCCATGCCCCCCTTCCCCTGCCCCTGCCCCTGCCCCGTCTCGCTGCTGCAATAGCTTCCCCTGCTCGATCCCAGTACCCTCCTCGGACTGTTGTGCCGCTTCGGCCGGTGCTGACCCTCCTTTCCTGGCTTATCCCTCCTCCTCTCCTCCTCCCCATCCCCTCTCTCGCTCCCCACCCCCTCTCCACCCTCTATCGCCCTCCCCTCCTCCTCCCATCTCTCTCTCCCCTCCTCCACTCCTCTATCACTCTCCCCCTCCTCGTCCACCTCCTCCCAATACCGCTCCACCACACTCCCATCCTCTCTCACTTGATACCCCGGCCCCATGCGAAACCGCCTCTCATGCACCTGTCTAGCCATCGCAATCGTCTGCTGCACAAACGGGGCCCACGACTTGGTCCCGTCGAATATCACGTCTCTCCCATTGTTCAGCGCGGTTACCAGCGTTGACTGCGCCGCCCGGGTCGACTCCTCGTGCACGAGCTGTGAGATCCGGGCGGCGTCGTTCAGCCGGTCAGCGGAGAGCGCGCGGAAGATTGCGTCCTTCTCTTTGAACGCGTCGGAATCAACCACCACCGCGTGTGGCGCCATGCGCGCCCAAAAGGGGCTGAGGGGGGAGGGGGGGGGGTGGGGGAGAGGGGAGGGGCGGAAGGAGAAGCGAAGAAGCAAAGGAGAGCGCTGAGAAGATTGCGTATTTTTCCTTGAAGGCGTCGGAATCAATTAACCACCACCGCGTGTGGCGCCATGCGCGCCCAAAACGTGCTGAGGGGGGGAGCAGGCGAGGAAGGGCGGACAGAGGGAGGACGGTGGGAGGAGAAAGGAGAAGAGTGAAGCAGAAGAGAGAGCTCTGGGAAGATTCCGCCCTTTTTCTTCAAGACAACCATCCAAGGAAAAGGTGCTGAGGGGGGTGCGGATGGCCTCGACAACCACCGCATGTGGCGCCATGCGCGCCCAAAAGGTGCTGAGGGGGGGAGGGGGAAGGGGGAGAGGGGAGGGGCGGAAGGAGAAGAGAAGAAGCAAAGGAGAGCGCTGAGAAGATTGAATATTTTTCCTTGAAGACACCAGCCTCGACAACAACCACCGCATGTGGCGCATAGCCATTGCATCACAATAATCCATGATAGGTAGCACAAACACTGTATCTTTGTACACCCCACTCCATCCCTCAACACCCCACTCCATTACCCTGTCTCTCACGGCAGTCATTCATTCCCCTCACCGTCTCATGATCTCCATGACCACCGTTGACTTGCCTGCAGCACCCATGCCCCGCCCTCACTGTCTCTCACGGCAGTCATTCATTCCCCTCACCGTTGCATGATCTCCTTGACCACCGTTGACTTGCCAGCGCCCGCGCCTCCACCAATCAGCAGCAGCACGGGGGAGCGCGCCGCCTTTGCACACACACTCACCCTATCCCTCAACTCACCGTTTCATGATTTCTTTCACAACAGTTGACTTGCCAGCGCCCGCGCCTCCCCCAATCAGCAGCAGCACGGGGGAGCGCGCCGCCGCTGCTGCCGGCACTGCTGCCGGCACCATCACCTCCCCCTCCCTCGGGACCTCCACACTTGAGGCGCGCGGGCGGGAGGGCGAGCGAGCATGAGACGGGGAGTGAGAGGGAGAGTTAGAGGGGGAGTGAGAAGGGGAGTGAGAAGGGGAGGAAGTGGGGAAATGGAAGACAGAGTGAGGGCCACCGTCACGGCCAATCTCACTCTTAGAGCCAGCACGCGCTAGCTTACTGCCCTCCTCACCCACTCCCCCTTGCCTCGCTTCCCCTTGCCCCGGTCCCCCTTTGCTCTCTCCTGCTTGCCCCACTTTCCCCGCTCCTCCTGCCCCCTCCACTCCAGCTGCTCCCCCCGCTTCTCCCTCTCCCCCCGCTCCCCCCGCTCCCCCAGGGCGGGGGCCGCAGCCGAGGATCTGCATCTTGTGCAGAAGCTGGGAGAAGCGCTGCTGCGGGCGCAGACACGTTATGGCCTCGTTGAACCGGCGCTGGCTGCACAGGGGGGTGGGGGGAAGTGGAGGGAGGTGGGGAAGTGGAGGGAGGGGGGGGGAGTGGAGGGAGGGGGGGAAGTGAGGAGGAGATGAAGACCACTGCTGCGGGCGCAGACACGCTATGGCCTCGGTGAACCGGCGCTGGGTGCATGGAGAAGAATGGCAAGGTGGAGAGGAAGGGAGAGAGAACATTAGGTCGCACTCTGTTTTTTCCATCCTTGTTTAGCGCTGAGGTGGGGTTGGGAATAGCAGCTATTTGGATAAGAGGATGGAGAGACGCACAGACAAACAGGCAGACAGACACACACAGAGACACACAGACAGACAGACACACACAGAGACACGACACACAGACAGACAGAGACACACAGAGACACACAGACAGACAGACAGAGGTGGCTCACCGAATGACAGCATTGACAGCGTCCCTCAATTGCAGTTTTTTGCTTGGTCCCCGGAATACCTGCAGGGTGATGGGCGCACGACGATGGGCGCACGGGGATGGGCGCACGGGGATGGGCGCTCGGGGATGGGCGCACGGGGATGGGCGCACGGGGATGGGCGCACAGGGATGGGCGCACGGGGATGGGCGCACAGGGATGGGCGCACGGGGATGGGCGCACAGGGATGGGCGCACAGGGATGGGCGCACAGGGATGGGCGCACGGGGATGGGCGCACGGGGATGGGCGCACGAGGATGGGCGCACAGGGATGGGCGCACGGGGATGGGCGCACGGGGATGGGCGCACAGGGATGGGCGCACAGGGATGGGCGCACGGGGATGGGCGCACAGGGATGGGAACACAGGGATGGGCGCACGGGGATGGGCGCACGGGGATGGGCGCACAGGGATGGGCGCACGGGGATGGGCGCACGGGGATGGGCGCACGGGGATGGGCGCACAGGGATGGGCGCACAGGGATGGGCGCACAGGGATGGGCGCACGGGGATGGGCGCACAGGGATGGGCGCACAGGAATGGGCGCACAGGGATGGGCGCACAGGGATGGGCGCACAGGGATGGGCGCACGGGGATGGGCGCACGGGGATGGGCGCACGGGGATGGGCGCACAGGGATGGGTGCACGGGGATGGGCGCACGGGGATGGGCGCACGGGGATGGGCGCACAGGGATGGGCGCACAGGGATGGGCGCACAGGGATGGGCGCACAGGGATGGGCGCACAGGGATGGGCGCACAGGGATGGGCGCACAGGGATGGGAACACAGGGATGGGAACACAGGGATGGGCGCACAGGGATGGGCGCACAGGGATGGGCGCACAGGGATGGGCGCACAGGGATGGGAACACAGGGATGGGATCACAGGGATGGGCGCACAGGGATGGGCGCACAGGGATGGGCGCACAGGGATGGGCGCACAGGGATGGGCGCACAGGGATGGGCGCACAGGGATGGGCGCACAGGGATGGGAACACAGGGATGGGAACACAGGGATGGGCGCACAGGGATGGGCGCACAGGGATGGGCGCACGGGGATGGGCGCACGGGGATGGGCGCACGAGGATGGGCGCACAGGGATGGGCGCACGGGGATGGGCGCACGGGGATGGGCGCACAGGGATGGGCGCACAGGGATGGGCGCACGGGGATGGGCGCACAGGGATGGGAACACAGGGATGGGCGCACGGGGATGGGCGCACGGGGATGGGCGCACAGGGATGGGCGCACGGGGATGGGCGCACGGGGATGGGCGCACGGGGATGGGCGCACAGGGATGGGCGCACAGGGATGGGCGCACAGGGATGGGCGCACGGGGATGGGCGCACAGGGATGGGCGCACAGGGATGGGCGCACAGGGATGGGCGCACAGGGATGGGCGCACGGGGATGGGCGCACGGGGATGGGCGCACGGGGATGGGCGCACAGGGATGGGCGCACAGGGATGGGCGCACGGGGATGGGCGCACGGGGATGGGCGCACAGGGATGGGCGCACAGGGATGGGCGCACAGGGATGGGCGCACAGGGATGGGCGCACAGGGATGGGCGCACAGGGATGGGCGCACAGGGATGGGAACACAGGGATGGGAACACAGGGATGGGCGCACAGGGATGGGCGCACAGGGATGGGCGCACAGGGATGGGCGCACAGGGATGGGCGCACAGGGATGGTAGAGATGCATGTGCTGCCAATATTTTTAGTTGTCTTGAAAATTCATCCCCTGCCTTGCCTTCCCTTGCCTCCCGCCCACTTTGTTCCAACATGACCGCATGGTCCGGCCAGCGGCAATTCAGTTCTCTACGAATTTCGCGAGCCCACATACCATGCCCAAATATGGGTTTTCCCCATCTATGCGCCCCGACCATCCCACGAGCAATGGCTGAGGTCACTTGGAACAGTGTTTAGGAGGGTTAGCAGTGCAGTCTGACCAAACTGCGACACTTCTGAAGGTGCGTTGTCACAATCAGATGTGACAGCACGGATTTGATTTGGACTAGCGTGGGCGAACAATAGCTCAAAATGTTAGGGTTTCCATGTATTCGCTAGGCATCGTCATGGTGCCTCTGAATCCGTAGGATTGAATTATTGTAATCAACACCAGGTTTCGACGACCTCGCTAGCTCATTCGTCAACATTTCGACAATCTTCACGTGCGACCTAACACCACACCACACAACGCAACACATACCTCTCTCCCTCACAACTCAAAATCCTCTGACAGTTCAGCACATGTTCATTTTCACTTGGAAAATTTTACATGCTCTATTTTCCTCGCACACTGGATCGCACGTGACAATGGCCGCTGCAGTCTAGCCGTTCCTTCCTTACGTACATATTCCTAAAATATTTGTCTTTATTCTGTTCGTACATCCTCCCTCCAGCAGGATATAAAAAAAGCCGTTGTGGCGGACGATTTCAGCTGTGAACTTCGCCCAGGCTGCACGAAACTTGCGATGACGCTACCTTCTGACGCTCTACGCTCGCTGATCCAGTTATGCGCAAAGCAGGTGAGTTTTTGTTCCACGCAAGTACGCATTGGCTAATGCAAGTAACTCAATTGAGTCTCATTCTTCCCCTCCTCTTGCCCCCTCCTCCCCTCCCATTTCCCCTCTCCCCACCCCGTGCCCTCCCACGCACCTGTTCGATCATGAGCGCCGAGTGCGCCCAGTGGAAGCATCATAGATTACTCTACCCTCCCACCCCAACCACCCCACTGCTCCTCCCCTCCCGTTCCCTCTCCCCCTCCCACGCACCTGTTCGATCATGAGCGCGGAGTGCGGCCAGTGGAAGCCAAAGTAGGACAGCATGCACGCGTCCAGCTCTGCGCTCAGCTCCTCCCCCACCTGCTCCACCTCCGCCTCTGAACCCCGCATTAATCCCGCCGCCTCCCCCGGCCCCCCCTCGTCTCCCGCCTCCGCCTCCGCCTCCGCCTCCGCTCCCGCCTCCCCCTTCCACGCCACGCGCCCGCCCCCCGTCTGCGCGACGAGCGCGAGCAGGTTGGCGCGGCTCTTATCGGATGTGTTCTTCTCGCCCCGCACGTAGTCGTCCGCCGCCTGCGCCAGTAGCGCCGCCGCCGCCAGGTCCGTGGGTAGGCCCAGCTGGCGCACTGGCGGCGGGGGAAGCGGAGGCGGACGGGAAAAGGGGGAGTGGCGGAACGGGGACGGGGCGTGTGGAGGGGAAAGGCGCGCGGCAGAAGGGGGAGGAGAGGGGCGGAAGGGAGAAGGGAAAAAAGGAGAGGCGAAGGATATGGATTGGGAAAAAAGGAGAGGCGAAGGACAGTGGGTTGGAGACTGCCGGCCCGGGTAGGGATATCTCTGCAAAAAAATATACGACACAATGCATGCCCAATTTTGAGTTTTCCCCACCTTTGCGCACTGACCGTTGCACGACCGTCGTGAAAAAGGGACACGTGAGCCAATGCCTCTAGAGCAAAACAAATGCTGAACGAAATATAAAACAATGGCTTGCTGATATTTATGCCCACTAAGTTAGCGATTAATCTCCATTCCCTACTACGTCAGCGACTCGGACGCCGCGCACGCACCTACGTATTCGCCGAATCGCTCGATCCGTTTCACTTTCCCCGAACTCGCCGATCGTTCTATTAGCGGAATCAGATGAGCCACGCGCTCCCTTTCCCTTTCCGCGCCGCCGCCGTGCTTCTCGCCAGTAAACACGCTGCGCCACGTCAAGCGTTGCCGCGCGCATTTGTGTGCGCGTTTGGCCCATTGAAACAGACCGCGCAGTCCGACCAAGGAGAGGCCGACAGCTGTCGCTGCGGCGGCGAGCGCGGCTATGGTTGCAACTGACGGGCCGGACCCTCCGCTCAGAGTGATGATGATTCCAGCCATACCTTATGACGAAAAAACTGAAGTTCAGAGTCATAAATTTACCAGCCCCTATCCCTTGTGCATATGTATAGGGCCAACGGCGCGCCAACGGCGCGGTGTTTACTGTACTTGACACTGGTCAAGTAACCCTATCCCCATCCAAGGGCTTGCGAGCTGGGGGGGCAGGGGATAGGGTTACTTGACCAGATGTGCGGCCGAAGTTTACAGTCGCGAAAATCGCCGATGCACTTCTCTTTCGTGACGCCGTTGGCTGTTCGCCACGTATGCAGCGGTTCGCCCAACTCCCATCTTGACATTACACTCCTTCTTGACAGCACTAGAAGCGTGTTCACAGTAATTTCATATATCCTCCGACGTCGGAGGCTCAACGTCGGCAGACGTCGGGCTCGACGTCGATCGACGTCGAACGCGGCACTTTGAACACAACGCCGGCGACGAACTTCCGCTCAGGACAAATGCCGGCCTAAATAGTAAAACAATTGAATTCAAACGAATTTTGGAAATCGCAAGGCCGTTTCGCATGCGTAGACAGTGCCACTAATGGCTGCGAAGCCCGCAGTACGAATCGTACAGGCTCGTTAATTTCGAGAATTCAATTCTTGTTTTGTTGTTGTTCTGTCTGATGTGGTCTCGTCATCACTGTACAGATGCGCTGAATTCCGTACAAGTGTTGATGCTGGCGTGAGAAATTTCTGAAGCGTACTTCGAACACAAAAATGGCACCCCTCAGCCTACCTACCATGCCCGACAACCTCGACGTCGATTTACGTCGGAAATTTGCAGCACTTTGAACACGCTTTCAGGGCCTAATCCGCGGCAAATTAACGCATCCAGGAAGTGGCACTCCAGGCCCAGTTCGGCAGCCAGGCGGAAGCAAAATTTCAGGACGGTGAGGCGCGCGTCAAACCAGTGTCAACGAAAAATATCTCTGGATTGACTGCTCCGCGGAAAACCTGCGCCATGGGGGAGCTGGCGCAGATTGGAGGGGGAGGTTGGCAAACAGCACCGCATGTGTAGGCACATTTGCCTGGACATTCAAAGGGTTTTTAGCTACGGCGGAAGAGGTACTTCCGAACCTGCGCTTTTTAGGGACCTTCTTTTCTACCTGCACACAGTTTTCCAGGTTTTGCGGCCTAGACAGAAGACTTATTGCGTGAAGACAGAACTCGACTCAACATTTACCCACGTGTCATCATCTCGGTGTTTTGCCTTTCTATCCGCACTAAACTAAATCCCTCTCGGCTGGCAGGTGTTAAGGGGCATCAACCCTAAACACCTTGCGACTAAGTGTTTAGGGTTGATGCCAAAACTACATCCCTCTTGGCTGGCATGCTAATGTATGGCATCAACCCTAAACACCTTGCGACTAAGTGTTTAGGGTTGATGCCAAAACTACATCCCTCTTGGCTGGCATGCTAATGTATGGCATCAACCCTAAACACCTTGTCGCGTGGTGTTTAGGGTTGATGCCCTTGAAAACTTTCCATCCGAGAGGTACTTAGTTTTGTGGTTCCTGGCAGAAGAAACCCGATGAAAAACAGTGCATGCGAGACGTGCGAAAAAGCCGAGTTTTGTGTTAGCACAATAAATCTTCCGCCTTAGAAGCGGATCAGCGGAAAGTGTGCGCAAGTTGAGATGAAAGTCCCTTGAAAGAAAAGAAGCTACAGTAATCCTTCTGGGAAAACAAGAAACCCACATTCAAATGTCCCATGGCACTGTACCGGGCTCGCCCCAAACAAAAAATGGTAATAGAACCACACGCTAATGGAGAATGCTGGTTTGTATGGATAACCCGAAATAGATGTAAACGGCCACGGGGAAGGGCGCGGCTCGGGCGCTAGACCTACCTAGACCCACTCCCCCAATTTGCCTGAGGCGATTTTTTTTTTTTTTTTTTTTATACGGGCCGTCACAAAACATTTCGTAGTTATCACCAGGAGTCACATGTTCCACAAAATCTATCATGAACGGTCACATGTTATACCAAATCTATCACGAACCATCACACGGGTTGTCAAACTTATATGTTGTAGTCTGTGTAGGCTATAGTGGGGTAGACACTATGGGGTACAACACTTCTAGGTTTTCCTACTTATACCCACCTGCTTGCTAGTTCATTCATCCCTCATTTCTTCACATGGTATAGAGCAGGTTCCCTAGTGGGAACGCTTCCTGGGGCCCACCACTGAAACTTTTTTTTCCGACCAGAGCGACAATCGCTCCTGCCCGAGGCGCGCCTTGTGGGCTGCCCTTTTGTCGACCTCTCTTAGAGGCCCCTCTCACGGCCCCTCGCGCCACCCTCAGCGGCCCCGTCGCCGCCCCTAGCGGCCCCGTAGCCGCCCTTCCAGGCCCCTCGCGGCCCCTAGCGGCCCAGTCGCCGCCCCTAGCGGCCCTGTCGCCGCCCCTAGCGGCCCTGTTGCCGCCCCTGGCGGCCCTGTCGCCGCCCCTAGCGGCCCCATTGCCGCCTCCCTCCCTACGCGGCCCCGTTGCCGCCCCTACGCGGCCCCGTAGCCACCCCTAGCGGCCCCGTCGCCGCCCCTACGCGGCCCCGTCGCCGCCCCTAGCGGCCCCGTAGCCGCTTCCCTCCCTACGCGGCCCCGTAGCCGCCCCTAGCGGCCCCGTCGCCGCCCCTAGCGGCCCCGTCGCCACTGACCTCCCTACACGGCCCCGTTGCCGCCCCTACGCGGCCCCGTCGCCGCCCCTACGCGGCCCCGTCGCCGCCCCTAGCGGCCCCGTAGCCGCTCCCCTCCCTACGCGGCCCCGTCGCCGCCCCTACGCGGCCCCGTCGCCGCCCCTACGCGGCCCCGTCGCCGCCCCTACGCGGCCCCGTCGCCGCCCCTAGCGGCCCTGTCGCCGCTGACCTCCCTTCGCGGCCCCGTTGCCGCCCCTACGCGGCCCCGTCGCCGCCCCTACGCGGCCCCGTCGCCGCTCCTAGCGGCCCCGTCGCCGCTCCTAGCGGCCCCGTCGCCGCTCCCCTCCCTACGCGGCCCCGTCGCCGCCCCTACGCGGCCTCGTAGCCGCCCCTACGCGGCCCCGTCGCCGCCCCTAGCGGCCCCGTCGCCGCTCCCCTCCCTACGCGGCCCCGTCGCCGCCCCTAGCGGCCGCGTCGCCGCCCCTACCCGGCCCCGTCGCCGCCCCTAGCGGGCACCCGAGCCGCCGAGCCGCCCAGCAGCAGCAGCCGCCCCTGGAGCAGCCGCCACTGCACCAGCCGCCCCTGGAGCAGCCGCCAGTGCGGCAGCCGCCCCTTGAGCAGTCACCACTGCAGCAGCCGCCCCTTGAGCAGCCGCCACTACAGCAGCCGCCCCTGGAGCAGCCGCCACTGCAGCAGCCGCCCCCGGAGCAGCCGCCACTGCAGCAGTCGCCCCCGGAGCAGCCGCCACTGCAGCAGCCGCCCCTGGAGCAGCCGCCACTGCAGCTGCCGCGGAGCTCTCGCTCTACAGTGGTAGCGGCATCGCCGTTGCCGCCGTCGTACGCCTGCCCTTCTCGCCACTAGTGAGCACTGCCCTGCCCGTACTGCTGTTAATGCTGCTCTTACTGCTGCTGCTCTTTCTACTGCTACTGCTGCTCCTGGCGTGGCCAGATGCAGCTCCAGCGTCGTCCGCGTGAGTCCCTCACCCCCCAACAGCTTCGTGAGTGGTACGCTAGTTGGGGTTGTCGGGGTGGCCGTAGTGGGAGTCGTCCTGGAATGAGTCGTTCCTCAGCTGCTTGTAGTGGCCAGGTGCAGCTGCAACGTCGCTCGCGTGAGTCCCTCACCCCCCAACAGCTTCGTGAGTGGTACGCTAGTTGGGGTTGTCGGGGTGGCCGTAGTGGGAGTCGTCCTGGAGTGAGTGG